ACCCAACACAAGCCAAAAGGCACATCCAACAAGTGCAACCCATTAAGAAAAGGTAGTCATGACTCATGAGCAGCTTTTAACAAGTAATCAGAAGAAGGTCTCTGCCCTTCTCACTCCCGGAACTTTACTCTATCACTCACTTGAAGACGATTATACAAATTGGATATTTTTTGTCCTTATCCTAAAGAGTAGTCTGGTTCTGTTTCTCCAGAGAAATAAGATAGGAAAGACTTTCCCCACTGACCCTGAACTGAGGCTCAGTTAATATGCCAGGAGTCAGACTTCATGAGAGATAGTATTTGCATTCAAAAAGGCCTAATTCCAAAACCTTAAAAAAAAAAAAAAAATTAGAAAGCAGAAACAAATAAGAAATTATTGTCTTACTTCTCTGATATAAAAACTATCAATACGTTAGAGAATTTCCTTCCAGTATTTTTCCTACATATAGATCAATGGTTAAAATTTAAAAAAAAAAAAATTCACAGTTGTAATCAAAATGTGTTAAATGGCACTGGAATGGTGAAACTGTTGAAGGTGAAACTGTCCATTATTTAGATGGCACCAGAGAGAAAAACCTCTGTCACTTATATGATGCCACTGACTGAGAGACACGTCAGAGATGTTGAAATGTGCATCTTAGAATCAAGGGCCTATTTTGTAGTTAGGAGTTCCTGGGTAGTGCCTAAGGCATTGGACTGCTAACCAGAAGGTTGACAGTTCAAACCCACCAGTCACTCCACAGAAGGAAGACTGGGCAATCTACTTCTGTAAAGATTTACCTCCTGGAAAACCCAGTGGGGGTTGCTATGAGTCAGAATAGACTCAATGGCAGTGAGTTTGTTTTTTTGGTTTGGGTAGTGCAAGAGGCCCTGGTGGTGCAGTGGTTAAAGTACTTGGCTGATAATCAAAAGATTGGTTGTTTGAACCCACCAGCCACTCTGCAGGAGAAAAATGCGTCAGTCAGCTTCTTTAAAGATTGCTGTTATTGTTGTTAGGTGGCAGAATAAAACACTGCCCAGTTCTGTGCCATCCCCTCAATCACTGCTATATTTGAGCCTATTGTTGCAGCCACTGTGTCAATCCATCTCATTGAGGGTCTTCCTATTTTTTGCTGATGCTGTACTTTACAAAGCATGAAATCTTTCTCCAGGCATTAGTCCCTCCCGATAACATGACCAAATTACGTGAGATGAAGTCTCCCAATCCTCACTTCTAATGAGCATTCTGGCTGTACTTCCAAGACAGATTTGTTCCTTCTTCTGGAAGTCCATGGTATATTCAATATTCCTTGTCAACACTATAATTCAAATGCATCAGTTCTTCTTCAGTCTTTCTTGTTTATTGTCCACGTTCACATGCATAGGAGCTCTGGTGGTGTAGTACCTAAGGCATTTGACTGCTAAATAGATGGCTGATGGTTCAAACCCACCAGCCACTTCTCAGAAGGAAGACTGGGCAATCTACTTCCGTAGAGATACCACCTCAGAAACCCAAGTAGGGGTCACTATGAGTCAGGACCAACTCGTCAGCAGTGAGTTTAGTTTTTGGTTTGTTTTCATATGCATATGAGGGATTGAAAACGACATTGCTTGGGTCAAGTGCACCTTAGTTTTCAAAGTGACATCTTTGCTTTTGAACACCTGAAAGAGGTCTTCTGCTGCAGCAGATTTGCCCAATGCAGTATGCCATTTGATTTCTTGACTGCTGCTTCCATGGGCATTGATTGTGGATCCAAGTAAAATGAAATCTTTGGAAACCTCAATCTTCCCTCTGTTTATCATGATGTTGCTTATTGGTCCAGTTGTAAGGATTTTTGTTTTCTTTATGTTGAGGTGTAATCCATATTGAACAGTGTAGTCTTTGATCTTCATCAGTAAGTGCTTCAAGTCCTCTTCACTTTCAGCAAGCAATGTTGTGTCACCTGCATATCACAGGTTATTAATGAGTCTTCCTCCAATCCTGATGCCATGTTCTTCTTCATACAACCCAGCTTCTAGCTTTTCTGCTCAGCCTACAGACTGAATAAATATAGTGAAAGGATACAACCCTGATAAATACTCTTGGATTTTAAACCACATAGTGGTTTAAACAGAACCCCTTGTTCTGTTCAACTGGCTGCCTCTTGGACTATGTACAGGTTCTGTATGAGCACAATTAAGTGTTCTGGAGTTTCCATTCTTTGCAAAATTACCCACAATTTGTTGTGATCCACACAGTTGAATGCCTTTGCATAGTCAATAAAACACAGGTAAATATCTTTCTAATATTCTCTGTTTTCAGCCACCTGACATCAGCAATGATATCCCTCACTCTATGTCCTCTTTTGAATCTGGCTTGAATTTCTGGTAGTCCCCCATAGATGTATTGCTGTAACCATTTTTTAATATCTTTAGCAAAAGTTTACTTGTGTGTGATATTAATGACATTTGATAATTCCCATACTCTGTTGAATTACTTTGGAAACCCTATGGCGTAGTTCTACTCTATCCCATAGGTTCATTATGAGTTGGAAATCAATTTGACAGCAATGGGTTTGGTTTTGGGGTTTTGTGTGGTGCAAATGATTAACATGCTCAGATGCTAACAGAAACGTTAACAGTTTGAGTCTGCCCACAAGTGCCTTAAAAGAAAGGTCTGCAGCAATCCCATTACTAGGCATATGTCCTAAAGAACTGAAAGCCAGGACAAGAACAGACATATGAACACCCATGTTCATCACAGCACTATTTACAATAGCCAAAAGATGGAAACAACCTCGGTGCCCATCAACAGAAGAATGGATAACCAAACTACGCTACATACATACAATGGAATACTATGTAACACTAAAGAATAATGTAGAATCTGCAAAACACCACATAACATAGATGAACTTGGAGGACACTATGCTGAGTGAAATAAGTCAATCACAGAAGGACAAATATAGTATTAGTTAATTATTGTAAAAAGTCAAGGAAAGGTTTACATATGGAAGGAAACTTTCTTAGTTGGTGACTAGGGGTATAAGGGGAGGGGAGGGAACACTGCAAAAAAAAGCATCAACCCATGTCACTTTAGTTTTATGTATTTCACTGTATACAAATTATATTTCAATGAAATGCATTTAAAAAAAGAGAAAGAAAGGTCTGGCAATCCACTTCCAAAAAATTAGCCATTAAAAATCCTCTAGAGCACAGATCTACCTTGACACATAGGGCATTGCCATGAGTCAGAATAGCCTCAGTGGCAACTAGCATTCTGTGTCCAACTGGCATTCATGTGGTCCACCTCCTGCCTGGGGTGGGTGAAGATGGTTTCATAACACAAGGGACCTGGATTTCCCCCACATTAGTTAAGGGAGATCTGGGCTGGGAGGATCCCTACAGAAGGGAGAGTCTCTTCTATTTATCTTTCTTATACATCTTTGCCTTGTAGAGTAGACACTCGAGAAATATTTGTTAGTTAAATAAATAAATGACAAAAGCTTAAGAAGAAATTCACCAGCACAGAAGAAAAAAATGATCACAGACCCAAATAATGGCAGGAGTCCAAGTTTGTTGGAGAACTGGGGGCAGGGAGGAGGCATTGAGAGAAAGGCCTACCACTCTGCTTCTCAAAAATCAGCCACTGAAAATGCCATGGAGCACAGTTCTAGTCTGATACATGTGGGGTTGCCATGAGTCAGAACTGACTGGTCAGTCGGTGGCTATGCTTAGGGTGCAGGGTAGGGCTGCAGGGAGAGTACAGGCAAGAGATGGATAGAATCCTGAGCTACAGCCAGGGGCCCTACTGCTCAAGGTCTTGCCCTTCCTATTGCCTGCCACCGTCTTTCCATTGTCTCTTCTTCGGCTGTCCAGACCCTTACTTTGGTGCCCTTATGCAAGCCTCGCTCCACAGTATTGCTGGGTTCGGCCATGTTTGGAACTTGTGCACACAAACTCACACTTGGTTTGATTACTGATTTAGTTGGGGGGTGGATATCATCAGTTAATTTCAAGTAAAAACACATATGGATCAAATTCAGGAATTCACAAGAGGCTGATGCAGGAAGTCATATTTTTCAAAAGAAGCTGAAACAGTTTAAAGGGATGATATCTCTTCTTTTATACAGAAGGGCTGATTGCCCTTGAGAATTAATAGGCTTTGCATAGCTGAAGTCTATATGATTGGCAATTCAGTTTTCTATGCATCTTCACTAAGGTATATACCTGAATCTGTGCAATGGATTTATAAAAAATGAAGATGAGGAAACCAAGACTTGGGTCTCCATGTATGTTCTGGGTTAAACATAAGGAGATGTGCACATTTTTAAAACAACTGTATTTTCCCTCCCACTTTCCCTCCATCCACTTAATATGTATCCTTGGGTCTTGTGAAAGATTTTGCTAAGTTCTCTGAAAGCTATGCCAACAGATCAGAAAAATTTGTTCTCAGAGAGAAGCACACAGATTATAGAGAAGATATGTTGTAGTCACAAATAAGTATATTCTGGGTAGAGTGACCATAAGTACAGTCAGAGAGAGACAGGTGATATGCAATCAGAATTTAGAGCTGGGGGGATTATGTCAAGCTGTGTATGTGTGTGTGTGGGGGTTGGATCAGGGAAGGCTTCAGAGAGGAGGTGGTATTTTGTCTAGGCCCTGAAAGATGGAGAAGATATGGACCTATTGAGATGAGAGCAAATGTGTACGAGAGGAGAGGCAAGAGGGCTCTGCTGCTCCCTTCAACAGGCTGCTTACTGTATACAAAACAACATGCTGTTGCCAAGGCCTCTCCATGGGGCACTGGGTCAGCTAACAGGTTATCACCTTGGGCAGACCACTTTGGGGAGTCAGTTAGGACCAAAGCCAGGAAAATACTCTAGAATTTCATGCCCATTAAGTGTGAAATTGTAGAGGAAAGCCATACAAGCCTAGATTTGGTGCATAACAGAACATTTGCAATCTACAATTGGTAACTAAGACACTTGATTAAAAACAACAGCACAAAAGCACTTCTGAAAACTCAAGGGACCTGCTTACCGTGGACATGGATGCCATTTGGTTGAAAAGGAGTGTTTGCTTCTGACTGATAGGACTTCAGGTGGGACACTGCTGGCTGCTGGGTGTGAGGTGGCTGGATTCTTTGCAGGATTGAGGAGGGGGCTGCTACTCTCCGGGGACTGATGTGGTGTGGAGATGAAGCAGAAGGTGCAAACCTGAGAAAACAATTGTATGGGGAAACATAAGGGATATAAAATAGCAGGGGCAAAGACACACTCGTCATAGCCAAATTCTAACATCCCATTCTGTTCTGTTGTATATGGGGTTGCTATGAGTTGAAACTGACTCATCAACACCTAACAATAACATTCTGACTATAAAAGATGGGGGGAAAAACGTTCAGGACTTTTCTCTCCCATCTTCAACCACTAAAATCTCAACTGAAAGAAGCCCTGGTGATGCAATGGTTAGACATTTGGCTGCCAGCCAAAAGGTTGGTGGTTCAAACCCAACCAGCAGCTCTGTGGGAGAAAGACCTGGCGATCTGCTCCCATAAAGCTGGCAGCCAAGAAAGCATCATGGGGCAGTTTAACTGTCACATGGGGTTGCTATGAGTTGGGATTGATTCGTTAGTATCTGAGAACAACAAAATCTCAACTGGGATACTGAGTGAATAAAAGAGACTCATCCAAGGGAAAATCTAGTGACGGCTTGGGTTTGTCAAGCTTCTTAAATTGCGTTTCAAATATTCTGGGTTTGGTGAAATTCAAAGCACATTTGGCTAGGCCCTTTTTCTGCTAATTTTAAAACCTGTTTGCATTTTATGGGAAATTGAATCCATGTGTTTCTGATTCATTTACACTTAGCCCATAAACATTTTGTTTTGTAAGACATATTTGATGTCCAAGAAGTTTTACAAGCCTTTATTGTAAGTCCCTCTAATCCTATTCTCTTTAAACAATATGTTTTCTTTTGCCAAGAATAAATCAACTTATACCTCAAAGGTCAAGTGTGGTTTGAAACCTAGAACCCAAAAGATCTGAGAGGGGTCCGTGCTCAGCAAAGAACTTCCCCAGGGTGTAACAGAATTCATCTCTCGTAGTAACATGTGCAATCACAGTGGGACTATCAGTAGTTTCAGAGGGGGGAGGCACATATTGATGTTGAAATAAGGTGATGCTATCATATAACCTGAAATATGAAATGGATAATCACACACTGATCTTCTAATTATAGGAGAGAACTGACAACATCTGACTCACTAGGTTTAAAGTGACAGTTTATAGTTTCTAACATTGAAGAGGGGGTCCCTGCAAATGGTTAACATGCTTGGATGCTAACCAAAATGTTGGCAGCTCAAGTCTACCCAGAGGCAAAATATCAGCCATTGAAAATCTTATGGAGTATAGTTCTACTTGGACACGCATGGGTTGCCATGAGGCAGAATCAACTAGACGGCAAGGGGTAACTGTGAAGTGTATTTGTGAGAACAATGTGGAAGTTTTGGCAACGTCCATAGATTATCAAAATGATACTCAATTTTCAGTTCAGGGGAAAGTGTGATGATCAGGGAATGCAATGAAATGAATCAATAGAATCATCTGCTGGGAAATTACATCAGCAATGAATTGTTTCATTGATATTACTTGCTATCCTGTTAACTCAGACTCATGGTGACTCTATGTACAACAGAACAAAACATCGCCTTGTCCTGCACCATCACTGGTATGTTCAAATCCACTGTTGCATCCACTGTGTATTTTGAGTGCCTTCCAACCAAGGAGGCTCATCTTCCAGAACTATACCAGACAATATTCTGCTGTGATCCACCGTATTTTCACTGGCTTTTCTTCTTAGTCTATCTCAATCTGGAAGCTCCATTGAAACCTGTCCACTATGGCCAATTCTGCTGGTGTCTGAAATACTGGTGGCATAGCTTCCAGCATCACAGCAACACACAAGCCACCACAGTATGTCACACTGAATCCACGAAGGAGTCCACGAAGTTGAAAACTTCCAGCTGATTGTTTTTCGCCCTGCATAGAAAGGCAGACTTTGTTCTGCACCAACAACACATTTACGTCACCATCGATTACACATCACTTATTTCTCAGGAACAAGTCACTTCATTTTGCTTGGCTTTTGTGAAGGGTCATAAATGCTAAAAAGAGAGGATGAACCAGTCAAATTTGTCATGTAACTTGTAATGTTCTGAACAAAAATATTTAATAAGGCAGAATGTCTACATTTATTGGAAACCTAAAGAAATCCTGGGATAAAATTCCACGTTGTTTTGGTTTTTCCTTTGCTGAGGGATGATAAGCCTCTGTAAGAAGTTTATATCAGGACCAAAAAGGGGAGATTTTGGCCAGTTAACCATTAAAGAGAGGCACTTGTGGTCCAGTGGGAGAAGTCTCACTTTCCATGCAGGAGACCCAGGTTCAATTCCTGGCCAATGCATCTCATATGCAGCTACCACCTGTCTGTCAGTGGAGACTCACATGTTGCTATGATGCTGAACAGATGTCAGCAGTTTCTAGACTAAGACTAGGAAGAAAAGTCTGGCAATCTACTTCCAAAAATCACCCAACAAAAACCCACAGTCCCCAGGAGTCTGATGCACAATGGATCACGGGGATGGCACAGGACCAGACAGCAATTTGTCCTGTTGTGCACGGGTTTGCCATGAGTCAGGAGCTGACACAAAGGCAGTTAACAACAACTGCCTCTAGAGAAAAGAAGTCAGAGGGAGCTTAAACAAACCAACTGAATTAAAATGCCTGCACAGTCAACAGTTTACATCTCCACACTTCTGGAAGGGAATAGTGTCCTGAGTCGGCAAATAGGTATTTTCCAAGCATATCATCTTAATAATTGGAATTATCCTGAAAAGATGTGCTGAATGGCTTTAAAAGAAATCACAGCAAACAAGTCTTGGCACTGCCCTGAGAACATCTAGTAAAACTCGTGTGCCAGGGTTCCTCATATGGAGGCGATTTTCCTGGGGAACATGTCCTTAATATGTTTCACAAGTTGCTCTGAGCATGGAGGACAGGCATGAGGAACTGTGGGACCACAGACTTTAGGGCTACAAGGAGTCCGCACGTCCACACCACACTGGAATTCTAGAGGCAGGGTGCCTAGCCTTTAAAGGTCCCCAAGGACTGTTTGAATTGTGAAGCTACAAATGTCACTGCTAAGCCACCATTGCTGCTTCTCCATTGTGTTTTTTGGGGTAAGGAGCAGGGTGTTTAGGCTGGTTCTCTATTTCCGTATTTGGACAGATATTAAAAGAGAGAGAGAGAAAAAAGAAAAACACCAAACCAGTTGCTGTGGAATCAGTTCCAACTCATGGCTGCCCTGTGTGTGTCAGCGTAAAGCCGGGTTCCAAGGGTTTTCAATGTGTTTTGCTTTGTTTTGTTTTCTTTTGCAGTGTTCATTCCCCTCCCCTCCAACCCCTGGGAACCAATAAAGCAAGTTACCTTCCATATATAAACCTTTCCTTGACTTTTTACAATAATGAACTAATACTATATTTGTCCTGTGATTGACCTATTTCACTCAGCATAATGTCTTCCAAGTTTATCCATGTCATGCAGCAGTTTGCAGATTCTACATTTTTCTTTAGGGTTGCATAGTATTCCATTGTGTGTATGTACCATAGTTTGGTTATCCATTCTTCTGTTGACGGGCACCCAGGTTGTCTCCATCTTTTTGCTATTGTAAATAGTGCTGCGATGAACATGGGTGTGCAGATAATCTGTTCTTGTCCTGGCACTCATTTCTTTAGCATATATACCTAGTAATGGGATTGCTGGGTCAAATGGTATTTCTAATTCCAGTTTTGTAAGGAATCACTATACTGATTTCCACTGTGGTTGTATCATTTTACAGTCCCACCAGCAGTGTATGAGAGTTCCAATCTCTCGACATCCTCACCAGCATTTGAGGAGGCAAACATTTTTAATATAAAACTTTACACTTCTAAAGTTTTGGATGATATGGCTATATTTATTAGCTATAAAAAGGACCTTGGTGGTGCAAGTTAAAGTTCTTGGCTGCTACCAGAAAGGTTAATGGTTCGAACCTACCAGCTGCTCCTTGTCAAGATTACAAGCCTAATCATTGCACAATTTGAAGAATATAATCAGTGTAACTGAAATGTACTTGTAAAAAATGTTTAAATGCCGTGTTTTCTCCTACATATAGGTGACGCAATAAAAAATTCTGGAATACTCAAAAAAATAATACTAAAAAAAATTAAAAAAACCCTCACTGCTGTCAAGTTGTTTTTCCAACTCATAGCAAAAATAATAATAAATAAAAATATATATATAAAGATTCAAAAAAACAAAAAAACCAAACTCACTGTCATTGAGTCAGTTCTGACTCATAGTGACCCCTCCTTGGGTTTCTGAGGAGATATCTCTATGGAAGTATATTGCCCAGTCTTGCTTCCAAGGAGTGGCTAAGGGCTTTGAACCACCAACTTTCTGGTTAGCAGTCAAATGCCTTAGGCACTATGCCATCAGAGGAAACCCTATGGGGCAGTTCTACTCTGTCACATGGGGTTGCTATGCATTGAAATTGACTGAATAGCACACAATAGAAACAACAACAGATGTATAAAAGGGTTAATATGCAACAAACTCAAAGGAACAGAATTCATTTGACAAGCATTTTAGGAGTCATCTATAGCACAGAGTCTATATAATAGATTCTATATCTATCTATCTATATTTTGTATATATAGCTATCAAAAAGAACTAAACTCACTGCCATTGAGTCAACTCAACTCATAGCAACCCCTCCTTGAGTTTCTGAGGCAGTATCTCTATAGAAGCAGCTCTGGTGGCGTAGTGCCTAAGGCATTTGACTGCTAACCAGAAGGCTGGTGGTTCAAACTCACCTGCCACTCCTTGGAAGGAAGACTGGGCAATCTACTTCTGTAGAGATAAAACCAGAAAAACCAAACTCACTGCTGTCAAGTCAGATCTGAATTATAGCGACCCCTCCTTGGGTTTCCCAGGCGGTATCTCTAGCAGTCAACCATATAGTTATACCTATAGCTATATATAAAGAGCTCTGGTGGCTCAGTGCCTAAGGTATTTGACTGTTAAACATAAAGTTGGTGGTTCAAACCCACCAGCCACTCACGGAAGGAAGATGGGGCAATCTACTTCTGTAAAGATTACCGTATATCTATATATTGTCC